GATCTTTAAGGTCCCTTCCAACCCAGACCATTCTATGATTCTATGATTCTATGACTTCCCAGAACTGATTATAATAAGTTCACCCTATTCCCAAAAATCTTATGATTATGTATGTAAAACCAAAATATAAGCCTGTGACTAACACAAGCACGGCATGCACGTTAGGTGGAAAGATTTCCCGTGCATCCAGCGCTGCAATAAAGAATACCTGCTTAACAGTATGAAACTGTGCTGTTGAGTCAAAATTTCTTTGTTTCAGTGGGGCGCGGGTAGCAGCGCTGCGGGTCACCCTCCAAGCTGTGGCTGACGTGGGCTGAGCCTCAGCCACTGCTGCTGGGCGTCCCTGGCCAAAGCTGGTGAGGTCACAGCATCGCAGGGTCACTACGGTTGGGAGAGACCTGTAAGATCATCCAGCCCAACCCTCAACCCAACACCACCCTACCCACTAGACCGTGTCCTCAAGTGCCACCTCTACGCGCTCCTCGAACACCTCCGGGGATGGTGACTCCACTGCTTGTTGAGTCTGGGCAGCCTGTTACTGCTGCGGCCACAGCTTCAGGGAGTGACATCGCCATCTCAGCACTGAAGGGTCCTTCCCTGGCAGCGCTTCTGCGTTGGCGGGGCCACGGGAAGGGGTCTCGAGCGTTGCGTTGACATTGGAAGGAGCCTGGAGAAATGCCCGCTCCACACCTTCTGACCAAACTGCGCTTGGCCACTGGTTTATGAGACAGATGACATTGCTCACAGTGTTTAGCTTGTCTCTCCCCACGATATTACGTATTTGTCTGACTTTATACACCTGTAGGATAAGATTTACCAACTGTAGTAAGGACATACTGACTTCAACCAATCCCCAGTGTAATCAGCCGACTTCTGCCCTCCTGGCACTGCCTGAGCAATTAAGTATTCGTCAGAAGCCCTTTGAGGCTAAAACACAAGAGGATAAAGCCATCCGCTCTAGTGACTATCTACTTCTCTATTACACAGCATGCTCATTTTAGTGACAGGACAAGCAGGAGCTTGTCCTGCGACTCCCTCCGGCTGCGTTCAGGCACTGCTGATGCTGCTGCTTGTCTCCCCTCAGCCTGTGCGTCCTCCGGGCTGAGGAGCTGTGGAGTCATGGCGCGAGGGAGTTGGTGTCTTTCACCAGCGTGCTTTGAAGGAGCACAGCAGCCTGGCGAAGGTCTCTCCTTTTGCGTGAGCAGCAGCGCTGGAAGTTAAGGGTCACAACGCATCCATTGGTTACACTTTTTAATTCACTCTGTCTTTTGAACAAGTTCAAAGCTGGAACTGCGCTTTTGGATGCAGATCAGTTCTAGAATGGAGCAGGTTTAGGTTATTTGTCGTGACCCTCAGGAGCCTATGGGAGGAAGAAGGTCAGATGAAGGGAAACTAGAACAACGGTGACGTCCCATGGGGCAGCCTTTGTTGGTCTGGGGAGATTTGTCTCCTTGTCTGCAGGAGAGGAGTTTAGTTAAGGCTAGACATTCCCTGAAGTGTCTGATATCGCAGGTGCTTATCAGCTGTCTTTGTGCTGTCCTCCTGGGACTAAAAACCTACTTGTGAGGCTCCGTGCACCGACTCACAGGTCTCTGGGATCTGGAGCTGCCTGGATCCACCTAGCTGGGAATCTCCTGGGATCTTGTGCTTAAGCAAACTCACCGACCTGGTGGAGGCTGGGTGAATGGAGTGATGTCATTTTACCTTTCAGGAATTTTGCCAGAAAGGCTTAATTTCTTTTAAAAATAGCTTCTCAAACTACTTGGTGCATATGTTAAAGACATTGTGTTCAATCTTAGCAGGAGTTGTGCAAATGTTGCATTTATTTTGCTGAACATTTCATTGCCAGCTGCAAAGCACAGCTGCCTCTAGCACTGCACATTCCAGCAGACATCTCTTATCCATCCTATAAAATTAAATCAAGATAAATAAATAGGTTTCGTCAAACCATGCAGGGAAACGTGTGCAGCAATACCTATTTTGAGTGCTCAGCTAAACCTTTTTTGTCTTGGCTTCATGGTTTACCATCAGGGTTGATGGATGTTGATGTTCATGTTAGGAGAAAGAAGTATCTTGGTGTACTGCTGCTGGGTAGGTGCTTTGGAGGTCTGTGAAGGAGGTGAAGCTTGCAAGCAGGAGTCGTGGTGAAGAGGGGCAGAGGCAAAGGCAGTTGCAGAGTTGGTGCTTTAGTACATTATGCTGCTGAATAAGGCAGCTGAGACCTCCAGAAATACCCACCAGCACATCACTTCTCTCACGGTCACGTGGAGGCTGGGTATTGACGTCTCCATCATCCTCAGTCTCTCGGCTTATATGTATTGATGTATTTTGCTGCAGGTGGTAAAAGTGACTGGCAGCTGGGTCTGAGCCAGCTCGGGTTGTGAACCAGCTGGATGCAAATGTGAGCCCTTGCGCTGTGGGGCCTGACGGCAGACTGTGCTCGTTATCGTAGTGACACGGTGGTTCCTGGTGCTGCCATGAGGTGGGTGCTCTGGCTGAACTGGAAGGGGCATCTGCTTTTCTGGCCTATCAGGAAGCTATGGGAAAGCAGTGGTACAGAAGAGGGAAGCTGTCCCAGCAAACTCGGGCTACCAAACCTCAGGAGCTGAAGTAGTTCAGCATTTGGCTTGTGGCCACTCCTTTTTCCAGTCAGATAAAACCCTGCCTATGCAGAGACCTTGTTCTTTACACTTAAGATGAGTCTCCCTTCAGCATGTTGGACATGTGGGAAGATAGCGGTCTGCCTGCCTGAAGCTCAGTTATTAATAATAAAGTATTATAAGATGACAATTTGCATTTCAGCAGCACCTTTAATTCATGGCTCTCCAAACACTTTACATACATTGATTAACATGGCCTCACAACCACCCTGTGAGGTAGGTGGATATGATCATCCCTGCAGATGCGGGGACAATGAGAGCACCAAGGGTAAGGTGCTTGGAGCAATCACGTTGGGATGTGACCGAGCCCTTGGCCATTTACACCTCCTTAGGCCTTCAGCTTCAGACCATGCTTTTCTAATGCATGGGTTTGACTCAGTGGGGGGCTAATGAGCCTGTGACTAGCTGGCACAGACTATAAAAGCCATTTATCTAAGGCAGCAGTTTATTAGAGAAGAAGATGGTTCCTTGGTGCTTCTTGCTGCTGGAATAATCTGAGGATTTGAAGGCATATAAAAAGGTTTAGATATCAACCATTGAGCATGGCAGGCTGTAACTGGAGAAAGCCCTTAGACCCCTGCGAGGAATCTGTGTGGGATGCTACTGTAAATGTATTGGTCAGAAAGGACATAATAATTTATATATAAAGTCCACCCTTGCTCTTTCCCCAAGGAAAAAAAAAAAAGGAACCTAGAAAGTCACTGCTGGTTGTCTTGTCTTGGTTGTCTCTGGGTCCTTGGCTTCATAGCACCTGCAAAAGGAACAAAACATGGTGTATCACCAGCCTGTTTGGGCTGGCAGAAGGAGTGAAGCAATATGTTCCCTCAAACCCAGTCCCACTGCTAGTTTTGCTTTAAAACAACCTAGAATTCTGTGGATTACTCGCATGAAATGGATCTGAGAGTACTGATGGGAATGTGCCCCAACATCACCTGTGGAGCCCGAGTGTGGTAAGCTTGAGGGTGGGACCTTGACTTCACTAAGGCGAGCTTAAGTACCTGTTCAGTTAATGACAAACCACTCTAGCTCTGAAGGCTGGCCCTAGTGATGGCACCTATATATGTGAGTTATACCTGGCACCTCTATACGTGAGCTATACTAGGCACCTTGACTTCAGGCAGCTTGGATAAACCTGAGACGGGCACTCTAACTTTCACCAGGCTCACTGGGAGTTTGATGGCAGCTGGGTTTTTTAATTGCCTTTCTGAAGGAATAAGAGAGCAAAGAAATAACTCAAAGGCATGCTCTTATCCAGCAAGAGAAATAATCCCCAGCTAACTCTCTAAAAAGCAAGGCTTAAAAGGGAAACCTTTTCTGACGGCGGGTAACTCATGCTGTTGTTCATGTTGATGTTCTTCATGGAGATCAGAGTGATGCTGTTATCCTTCTGGCTTGTGCCTGCCGAGCAGCTGTCAAGAAGAGAAGGCAGTATTAGCTCCTCTGGAAGACAAGAGAAGGGAGCGTCTTTGCACAGAATGAGGCAAACGGGCAAGGCTGTGGCTGGCTGGCACGCAGGACCAGAGTTGATTTGCACTGTCCCTTGAGCTGCTGTCCTGATTCAGGTGCATCCTTACTGCCAAGTTCCCCATCCCCTGTCTGAACGCAGGTTTGGAGATCTCTAGGAAAACCAGCAGTGTATTTAAATTCGGTTGCAGCGCTGGTTTGCCCGACTAAAGCACCATTGTCACCTGTATGGCTCTTTGTAGGGAGAATCAAGGAGCAGTTTGGATCTGGTTCTCAGTGACCGAATTACCTTCCAGCCCTGCAGCCAATACCAAAACTGGAACAAAAGGAAACATTACCGTGTCCGACTGTCCTATGCCCTTCCTTGTCATACAAAGGGGGCCCTGGATATTTTTACATCCCATGTTGCTGCTTGTGTATTGCCAGTGTCTCTCTTAAGAGTGACAGTTACAGGTGTTAGGAAGGCGGAATTCCCCTTTCTCCCTACACTGAGGACTGGGATATGAGTTTAGTGCCAATGGAGACGGGATGTGTTTTGGTCCCTTTCAGCTCTTGTTTCCTGCTGCTTTCCCACATGCAGCATCTCTTTTTGGGTAGCAGTGATGGACCGTGAGGTTCAGATGGACCATCCTCCTCTCGGTGCTTCTCTTCCAAAGGTCTCTGGATTGGGACCCCCTTATCCTGCTCTTGCTAGATAACAGTACTAGACCTCTTGGAAGATGTTTTTGGGGACCTGATCTCATCTCACTGAGGCTGCTTTGAAATCCAGAAACCCAAGTTTAGACCCCAAGTCTGTATCTATGCCAAGGAAGAGAAGTAAGCAGCTTTTGGAAGGTGATGAGTCTTCACAGACATCAGTACAGCTTTGAAATGAGGCCCCTAAATATTGAACTTAGGCTCCTTTGACTCTATGAGGCAGAGGATGAGGTGCTATCAGCACTGATTTTGGTTTTTTACTTGTTTCAACAATGTCTGAAATGCTTCCTTCCACCTCAAATAACCCAAGCAGCCTATTTTCCTTGTTAAAATTCATTCTAGAATAAAACTGGCATTTTCAATAGGATGTGAAAAGTGTGAGCAGCCTCACCTTTCTGATACCATGGAGGTCCCTGGTTTCTGTTTGTCTGGAGGGAGAAAAGCAATTGATGATGTACAAGCGAGAAAACATCACAGCCAAGGAATGAACTAAGTCAGCTATGTCCAGAATTACATTGTGCAGGGTTATAAATTAAATGCAAATGAGATTAGAGACACCATGGGGGATACTTGAGAGTTGATTAGGGAAAATTCTTCACCTAATGTAGAGGGAGGACTGAACGCTTTGCTGCCTGTTTGGTCACTAGCATCCTTTGGTCTTCTGGCAGTTTCCCTCTAGTGGGCACTGCTTAATTGGAGATGGGATTCCTGAGGGAGAGGAGTGTCAAACTCCATGACTTTTGCTGGAAGAGCTGCCCTCCTGTGGAATTCTGGACATTTAACTGCAGCAAGCTCGAGACTGTTTCCTTGTGCAGATGGTCTGGGCTGGGGCTCTAAAGAGGTGCTCACATTACATTCCTAACTGCCAAATCTGTGTTCCAGTTTGCCCTCAAAACTTCCCCACCACGTAAGCTTTAAAAAAGCATCTTTTAGGAATTGCCAGATCCATGTGGAAACTGCTGACTTTTTGATCAGGGAAAGACAGATTGCCCCAGGCAGATACCTTCGGAGTCCTTTGAGCGGTTGCACTTGAACCTCAGGCTGACCACGCTGACCAGAATGATCACAACCACTATCAGGATAACTATGAAGCTGATGACACCTGGGGACAGAGGAAAGAACGGTCTGTGATTGAGATAACAACGTGCCTGTCCTCGGCTTCTGGGGTAGCGGAGAGACTTGGACTGTCAACAATGAGTAGGAAATCAATATTTCCATTAAAATGAGCATGCTATGTAATAGAGAAGTAAACAGTCACTAGAGCAGATGGCTTTATCGCCTTGTGTTTTAGCCTCAAAGGGCTTCTGACGAATACTTAATTGCTCAGGCAGTGCCAGGAGGGCAGAAGTCGGCTGATTACACTGGGGATTGGTTGAAGTCAGTATGTCCTTACTACAGCTGGTAAATCTTATCCTACAGGTGTATAAAGTCAGATAAATACGTAATATAGTGGGGATAGACAAGCTAAACACTGTGAGCAATATCATCTGTCTCATAAACCAGTGGCCAAGCGCAGGTTTGATTCTGACATCTGGTCACAACAAAACAGATTTTGCCTGGGAATCTTGTCCTGTTAAGACTGCTTCAGGACTTCTCGTGGCTTCCCTTGGAGGATATAAGAAAATGATACCTATGAAGTTAACACTTGACTTTTAAAAATGCTTCTGAAATAACACCTTTTCCTATGGTGTAATGGAAATGAGCAAATTGGGTTTTTTGCTTGTCTTCATGGAAGATGGAGGCAGTATAGCCCAAGGCAGAGTGGGTCTCTTAAATCTACCTTGTGCCTGTCTTCAAATCTAGTGCCAAGCTGAGGTGTGGCATCTCTTGCTCTGTCCTTCCACAGTCTAAAGGATGCAGAGGACTTGGCTGCTTCCTGCCAAGTAGGCTGCAACTGTGCAGGGAAAGGCCCTAAGGCAGGGTGGGAGTGAAGTCCCAACAGGTTTGCAGGGGAAAAAAAATCGTCTAAGCTTCCAGGCGGGTAGCGCATTTATTCGAGACACTGCCAGGGAAACAAAGGCATAGCATGGGATCATTTGTGCCCAGGTCTTGTCCTAACATGGAGCTGGGCAAACCCCTGGTGCTGGGAGCAAGCTCAGGTGTAGCCATGATGGACTTTTGAATTGTCTGTCCCTTGTACACTGGGCATGGCTGGGGGTACTTACTAGGCACCTTATTGCCTGCTGGTGGTCTTTTTCTCAAGGGTTTTCCCTTGTGCTCTGAAAACTCCAGGGTCAGGCATACTGAAGAAAAAACTGTGGAGTCATCTCCAGGGAAGTACCTTTCAAGCTGGGTGTCCAGAACAGTGTGGCCTGGCAAAACACATCCCCCTCCCTCTCCCCAGGTTTCACAAGACCTTACCAAAAGCTGCCACTGTCAGTGGTGATTTATCGTCTGTCGGAGTGGGCACAGGCAAGTAGCCAGAGGAGTGCGGTGTTGGGTTGACAGGCTTTGAGGTGTCTACAAGAAGGGAAAAAAAGTAGCTTTATATAAAAATTTTCCTTCCAAGTTTGGGAAGAGGACTCCTAGCAATTCCAGAAGATCTAGCTCCCACTTGCACTTCATTGCAGGGAATAACGTTGGATCCTGGCCAGCCCCGTCAATGTGAACAGCAAAGTGACCAAGACCTGTGTGGGAATCGGAATGCCTTGGTGTCGCCCCTTTTATTGACACACGAAGAACACCCAAAGGGTTTTCTGCTGGGGCCCTAATGAAGAAGCTGAGCGTGTCAGGTGAAGGATGGATCTGGCAGTGTGTTTGAGGGGAATGCTTGTCCCGTCTCCCTCGTCTTACAACCTTTTGCCATAGTGGCACTTTTCCTGCTGTGACTCACAACCACTTTTCCTGGGCTCAGCAGGTTGCCCTAAAGTGCTGCTTCTGCAGAGCTTTCTGGGCTTTTCAAGGGCTAGATGGGATGGCCATCATCCCTCAGGTACTCGTTGGCCCTTCACCATGCTGCCTGGAAGATGGCAGGGTGATGGTTTTGCTGTTGGCTGTGAAAGGGGCTGTAAAGCATCTAGTGATAACTGTCTCTCTGAATGAGAAAGGAGAAAGCACCTTGAGTTGGTGATGTTGTGGTACTCTCCCTTCTTTTGGGCTCTTGACCTGCACAGAGAAACGCAGAATGTGAGTCTTGTCCTTGAGTGTCATCTGATAACAAAAATAATTAATGGGCACGCTGGAGAGGGGAATGGATTCACAGTAATGCTGGTGGTACCTGGGAAACCATGGAATTCATACTTGGGCTAAAACCCTCCCACCAAACATACTTTGTACTATTTTCCATGTCCAAATAGAAACTCAGGGAACCAAAATTCATCTGACCTTGTATAAACTGATCTGTTCTGCAGTCCCAGATGCAGTTTCTGGGCAGACACAGCACTTGAATGCTCTAAGAGTTATCAGGGAAGATTATAGATTTGCTGTTACTCATAGACATTGAGACTTTTAAAAAAAATCTGCTTCAGGGAAGAAATTCTGCAGAATATGGGTGTGGATTGACTGTTTGGCTTGTCCTTGGGGTTGGAATTAGTAGGCATGCTGTCCTGGGTTATCTAGAAGTAATTAGACTAGTTTGAGTTGGGCTAACTTGCACACCATATGTAGTCTAGCTGCGGCAGCGTAGGGGTTTGTTCGAGCAAGGACTCCAGTTCTCAGTGGGATGAACTGGCTTATATGAAACTGCTTGGTTTGTGACAGCTGCTTCTAGTGCCTGTGCAAACAAATTTAAAGCTAGCCTGTGCGCTTCACTTGTACAGTGGAAAAACGCCTTTGTTGCCTCCTGGATGCATGTTGAAGGGCCAGATTATCTGCACTGGCCTTAATGAAGAGCTACGGGCCCTGTCTGGAGACTAAAAATGATACTGCAGAGCTTCAGAAAGTCATCTGTAGGTCAAATATGATCTTCTTTCCTCCATTCCCACCCCCTCCCACTAGCAGTGCTGGCAAAAAGTGTGTGCTGCCTGGAGAGGTGTGAAACGGCTCCTGGCACTCTGCACTGGGGCACAGGGTGTGCAGCTGAAACAGGGGTCTGGTCTTGCAGAAAACATCCCTGTTTTGGAATGTCATTTTGCTAAAGGTCAGAAGAAAAAGGGGAAAATGTATAAAATAACAAACCTAACTAGTTCAGAAATCACATGGAGCAGAACAGTCCTGAGAAGCAGGGATGACTGCTGTGCAATTTTTTCACCAGTCATCAAAATCTTTGTTTCATTCTGAAATTGTTCTTCCAGCTACAGGCAGTGGGCAGAAGCTGTGGTTTGCTGAGCCTGGCATGGATACCCCGTCCCTGGGAAATGTTGGGTCTCACACAACGGGAGACTTCGCTTTTGGAAGCATCAGCAACATTTCTGTAGTCAAAGAGGCATGGAGCTTTCCAGATAGAAAAGAGGGATATAATTAACAGCAATCTGCTCTGATGCAAAGGGCTCTTGGCGTAGCTGGGCACTGGCATGCTGGCTGGACATCTGTGCAGGCAGAGCTGACCACAGGTTTTTAACCTTGCTTGCGTTAGAGAAGATCTGAGAGGTAGTAGGAGAGGCCGAGCAGCTTGTGTCTTGACCACTTCAGATTTGTGAGGCTGAATATGTAATGGGGAATCATCTCTGTTGTCAGATTTCAGTCTTCCCGCTCTCTTGGATTCTGCTCTTATTCTGAGAAAACTCTTACTGAATTCTCTAATTTTGCTTACAGACTGGGTTAAGCAAACTGTCAATAGCAAAATTGGTTTTTTTTTAAAGGGTGATAAAAGGGCTCTGTTTTCCTGCACACAGATCAGTCTTTCAATTGTTCAAGTTCATCCCAGACAGAGGATGTTAAGTGCATTTGGCCTCATGTTTTATCACCACTTGTAAGGACACCAGACATGACTTTGGGTATTCCTGGTGGCTCAACTCCAAGATAAAGACTCATGCTTAGACAAACTGCACCATCTGAACCAAGATAATTGCCATGAAATTATCTCTACTTACTGTTACTCTATAAAAGGACAAAGTACCTTGAGGTGTTGAAGCTGCTGTGCTTCTGCTTCCACTAGACTTTTCATCTGGATAAAGAAAACATGGGAAAGGAGAATTAACTCTTGAGCTGCTACTGATAGTGCTATGGAAAGCTGTTGGTTTTCCATGGGGTAAAATATTTTGTTTGCCTGAGAATTCCCCTCCAAACAAACGTCAAGATGTCCAGGTAGCGAGCCATGCAGTCAGTTTAGAGAGTGTGTGTGAGAGGTGAGCTTGGGAGAGGTCTGCCGGGGAGCCTGGGGTGCCTGTAGCTTCTCCACAACACATTACCTGGTAAAGCATGACCTGGCTTTTCCGATACGGGCTTGCTGTGCTGCTGCCACATCCTGGTCATGCTTGTGTCCAGCCCTGTGCTTTTGGGGAGCTGGAATGAGCTGCTCTTTTAGCAAAGACTGAAAGAGATTCCAAAGTTGCTGCTACTGAATAAGTAGCATGGCGTGGACTAGCCCAGTCTTTCTGATGCCCCTGGTTTTACTTGGATAAGGAGGGGTGCATGAACAGGTCCTGCCCCACCAAAAATTTGAGTTTTCCGAACTTACCTGGTGCAGTCGACGCTAGTAGTGTTGTAGCCATGGAAGAGGATTTGGCTGTAGTAGTTTGACCCACAGAGGTGAGATTCAAGTTGCTCGGTGTCATTGATTTTACTGAAGACTCTGCAGAGGAAGCATAGCATTACCTCAAAGAGCTCTGCTCACCACAAGCTCTGCTCAGACACAGCCTGGAGGAGGGCATGGCTATTGCAAGGAGTCCTCAACCTCCTTGGGAGTTGTGGATAAACTGCTAGGGAAAGCAGGGGCATGAGCAGACAAGGAAGCAGCCTTCGTCCTCAAAGTGAGGGAGCTCTTGTACTTCGGCATTAGCTTTTGCTTTTTTTAGTGTACAGAAGTGCTGAGCTGGCAGAGCTCAGGAGACACGTGGAGAAGGTCTGTGTTTTGCCACTGCTTTTTCCCAGTTTGAAAATGAAAGTATTTTTATCACTAGACCCTTTAACTGGCTAGAGCTGCCTGGTACCCATGTGTGTGTTTGCTTGTTATCTGAAATGCTAACTTTATGTTTCAAACATAAGCACAAATCATTCAGTTCTTGTACTGGCCTGGAGGCTCTGTCATCTTCCTCAACTTAGTACTCAAAGCTGCATAGCAAGAACATGATCCAGAGCAAGATGTGGGTGAAAAAGCTTTCAGTAAGTTCCCCGCAAGGAAGAGTGGATCACCAGCTTGGAATTTATAGGCAAGTTCCTTGTCTGGGCTTCTCTTATAATAATAACAAAATAAAAATGAGAAAAGAGTAAAAAGGGGTTTAAGGTTGGTTTGTGTTTGTTGTTGTTTTTTACTTTTATCCAAATGCATCACCAAAATATTTGAATTTAGGAATAGGTTTCTGCAAGGCATGAAGCAGAATCTGAGATCTTTCTCCTTTACATCTGTGGGGTCCCTTTGGAGGGGTAGCTTTGCTTAGAACGATTTTTTCCCCCCCCAAACAGAGCAGGAAGAGATCTGTCTCCAAAGATCCAAGTGGACTCACGGATGTGGATCTGGAGTTGGAGAGATCCCTTCTTGCATCTTCAGTTTTGCTTATTTTCAGACTGAAACATGTAACTTTCTGCTAACTGTGTGACCACGTACACCTGGCAGTGTCCTGAAGCTGGTTTCAGAAGAGGGGGAGAACAGAAAAAAAGAGAATAAAATAAGGTAACTCCTCAGGGCTTCATATTACTTTTAAACATTTTTCTGCCCTCAGGAGTAGTTGCTGTTTCCATGAAGACAGACAACAAAGCAAAACCCCCAACGTGAACAGTTGAATTAGAGCTAAGGCAGCATTCAGCCCTGTGCTGACACAAACATTGTACAGTTTAGGACAATCCTCTTCATGCTCCCCCTTTCCCTCCTGGAGCAATGGGGAACACGTTGACCTGTATGGGACATGCTGAGGGTGTGCACAGCACTGCAAGTTTTTAATTAAAAACAAATGTGGTGGCTTGCCAAGAGAGCAGCGCGGAGCAGTAAACGTAGTGCAGGGAAGCTCTTACAACAATGACCCCATTGCTGTTACTTGTGTCATGACAGCAGGAGACAAGGCCAGACTTGGCATGCAAGGCACTGTGCTTGCATGTGCTGTGCACACCCCGTGGTCCTTGCACGGGACAGCCCCTAAGCAGAGTGGGTGATGCCAGGGAGGAGGATGCAGCAGCATGTTCACTGCCCAGTCTGGCTCCTCGCCTGAGCTCTGGGCAGTCGCACCCTCAGTGCCCACAAGACGCAAAGCCCAGTGTTCCTGGGTTGTGACCTGCTGACCCTGCTTCTCCCTGTTCAGTGTAATGATGTCTTTCCCCTGTTCTTGCCCTCACGTGTGCCTTGATCCCTCTGGAGTGGCTGGATCAGAAGCCCTTATGCCACAAAACTTCCTTCTTCCCCACCACTGCTCTCATCTGACCTGCACAGCCCCATTTATTGCTGGGTGGCCCAGCTGGACTGAAGTCAGGCCAGTTACACGCCAGGATGCCCTTGAGCTGCACCCTTAGGTCTCCGGGATAACGTTACCTGAGTTATGGTTCTTCACTTCAGGGCTGTGTGTTGTTGGTTGGGATTGACCTGTAACACAAGCAGAGAGACGTGGAGGTGACATCTCCTACATGTGCTCCTTGGTGGTGGGATCCCTGTAGGGAGGTTGAAGGATGAGCCATTATGCCCAGTAAGAGCTGAAAGGGTGGCGGGGGCAAGACATGCCGAGGGGTGGGGTGCCACTGATATGGCTGTAGGGACCTTGGCCCTGAGGATCCGTGGAGGAGAGCATGCTAGTAGAGAACTGCTCAGAAACAGCTGGGGAGAACTGAGAGCAAAGACGAGGCAGGATCCCTCTGCTTTCACTAGGCTTCCTGAAACACACCATTGCTTCCTTCCAAACACGGCTGGGGGCAGAGGCCAGGAAAAGGAGACCCAGGCAGGGTCATCCTCTGGGGCTCCATGCCCTCCAGGGCCCTGGAGATCTGAGGGTGAGTGGTGACAGAAAGGGCAGGCAGAAGTGGGCAACGCAGGGTCCTGGGAAAAGGATGGGAAGTGGACGTGAGTCTGGAATCTGGTTCCCATTGGTGGAGTCTCCATTTGCATCCCCACATGGGCTTGTGCATCCACACCCAAACAGACGTTTAAAGCAGATCACAGCCCAGGAGGTACCTGTTACGGCGTGGACGGAGGAGACTGTGGAGGTTGCAGTACCTGAAAGGAAAGAGTAACAGTATTAGCGGCGTGCATCGGTGACTGTCACTAAAGCCGTCGTGCTCTTGCTGGTCGTGTGGTTTGGGTTTTCCTCATCTTCTGTAGGAATGACTTTGAAATGCATGATTTCCCCGTAAGCATTAGCAAAGAAGTAGTAGCAAATACTGAGTGCAAAGCTATCCGGTTCTGAGTAAATTAGCACTGGAGTTTATTCAGCCAGGGTAACTGCCCTCCTCCCCACATGGAGCCAAACCCGTCTTCCTCAGTTACAGGGAAAATGCAGGGCCATATAAATCACTGGGGTCGTTCCCTCCCCATGAGTTGTTTGCCTCCTGCTCAGCCGTGGCAGAGCAAGGCTGTTTGACCTGTGTCCTGGAGATATTTAAAGAGTTGACACACATTTGAATGCTTGTTCCCTTGACACCTTAATGAGTGGGTGGATAAAGGTTGTAAAGGCTTCCAGGATCCCATGGGACTGTTTTCTCCTTCCTGTCTCTACCTGTGATCCTTCTGTCCCATGTATTTGCATCCCGGGAAGGTGGCTGAAGCCTTGTGGCCATGGAGGTCTGGACAGAGCAAGGGGGCTGTCGGGGGCTGCAGACAGGACTGACTGGGAGCTGCCTTCTGTGGTAGTGCCGGGTAGTCCCCTCGGTCCGTGCAGGGCTTTGTTCCCCCAGGATTGTAGGTGTTGCACTGAGTCCCTGGTTTCTCAACTGAAAGGTGGTTTTGTTTGCATTTTTGTTTGTTTTTGTTTTGGATTTATGACAAAGCATCCCTGCACCAACCCCCATGTTGCCTGCTCTCAGGATCCCTGGTGCTTTTCGTCAAGCCCCGGCTCCCAGACTCCTGTGATTAGATGAGGTGCCTGTTAAAAATGTTGCCATTTAAAATAAAAAAGAAATGTCCAGTTCCCATACCTGGGGACAAGAACCGGGAAACATAAATGCACTTCAACCCTCAAATCAAACCTAACTGGTTTAACTTTGAAAAGGTGACTTTGAGACTGTCGTTTTTGAAATGCACGTCCTAATTGGTATTTTAAATTGGTTATTGCTGGTGATACAGGTGCTGACTGTAGTTAAGGTTAACGAAAGAAACTACATTACAGCTACAGAAACCAGCTGAATCTGACCCTTCTCGCCAGCATCCCAGGAGAGCTGAGGGTTTTGGACAAAAAGAACAGCAGTAAAGGTTGAATCCTTCCAGCTCGCTGTCCCCCCCGGCAATGCCGCGTATCTCCATTGCAGCAGTGGTCTGTGGGGAGGTGCAGTGCCTTTGCAGGGTGCTGCGCCTCGTGGGGTGGCAGGAGGGGAGGGTCGGCAGTGCAGCTCTGCCAGAGCACAGCACTGCTTGTGCACCCACTTACAGCCAGAATCTGTCCTCCCTGTACCAAGAGTCATCTCACCTCCTGCTTTACACCTCTCCTGAGCCAGCCTGCGAGGGAGCTCATCTCTGGGCTCTTGTTCTCACCATAGAGAGGACCAGGCACTTGTAAAACTCTATTGCTCTGACCTATCTCAGATCTCTTACTTACCTATTTCAGATTTCTGCCTTACTCTGACTCCTCTAGGCACAGCCCCATTTCTTACCAGGAGCTGTAGAGGTGATGTAGTGATGGACTTTGTGGTAGGTACCTATGCACCTACAGGTACCTGTAGGTGCCTGAGAGGTCAGATGGATGCTCTGGTAGTGGTATCTGCAACGAGATCGTTAGCATCCAGTGTATGTGGGTTATCAGGGCTTGGCTCAGAGCTCACCCCTTGGGACTGTCTGGGTGCAGCGAGTGTCTGATCACATTTTTCTCATGTAACTGCGTTGAAGCCGTAATTATTTTTTTGTCTGAGGCTTTATGAGAATGGTCCCAGCCAAACAGGAACCAAAACAGTGTGAAAACATAATAAAACATGGTCTCTTTCCAGCAAGGAAAAGGGAGGCTGGGCAATAGGAAACTGCCCTAACATAAGGACTGTGAGTTGCTAGGAGTGGTTGTGCATGAGAGTTATGGAGTACCCTTCTCTGCTGGTTTTGGAGGACAGGTTAAATGAGCATCAGTCTAGTAACACAGGATTATGGACAGATGTAACATCACTTACTAAATCAGCCAACAGAATGGGAAAAAAGATCTTTTTGGCACACAGTTACCCTTCTTGAAGAGGTAGAGATACTTCTTTTGAGGAAGGGGGATGCTCCCCTCTGCAGCCCTGTCGCCTGGGATGCTGTGGTTAGCTCCATGGAGAGTCAGTACAGTGACTTGGGCTATTTCCATAGATCCCAAGAGTTTGCCAAGTTGGTGGTGGTTTTTTTGTTTTGGTGGTGTTTTTTTTTTTTTTTTTTTCCTGACTAGGCTTCCTCTTTTTAAACAGCCTTACAGCACAATTTCTGGACATTGATTTGCAAATGCCATAAGGTACTCTCTATACATTCAGCACAAAAAATAATGTGCTGAGATCATCATGGGGGCCAATATCCTCTAGCAGCTGCCAAAGTCGAACAGCTCCTTTCTCCAAAGTTCCCTTGCAGAAGCCGTTGTTTTCATCCTCTGTGGGGAGAAATGGCTTGTAACACATTTTCTTTTTTAAATTATCACAGGTGCTTTTCAGTGTACATGGCGTGTGAAAGCATCAGGAACCGCTGAAGAGCTATTTCCTACACTTAGTCTTTGTCGAAGGAAAAGGGGAATAAAGGTGCTGAGCTGACAGGTTATTCAACATTTTTGGTGCTGAGAATTCTGAGAGCTTGGAACGGGAGGAAGCTGAGGGCAAGGCAGATGACATTGCTGCCCTGTACTGCCATCTGTGACGGGACCATCCCATGGGCTAGGTCCTGCATCCCCGGTACTAGGGCAGGAGGATTGTACCACAGCTCATCCCCTCGTTGAAGGTCACACCAGAGCATCGGCTCATAAGGAGTCTTTTTGCTTCATCCGCAAAACTAAACCTTGGAGTTATTGTAAAAAGGATGAATAACCATTTTTCTTCCCAGTGCTCAGTCCCAGGAGTTCATCTGGCCAAGTGGCCCTGATCTGCCACGTTTGAGCTTTGCTGCGGAGAAGTGACCGGTCTTGTTGTGCTGAGGCCAAGGGATGGAGATACACTTCCGGCACGTAGCTCAGGAATTAGTGGCCCTGGCTCTATAAACACCACCTCACATTATTTCAAAGCAGAGGATGTCTGGCTCTGACTTTTGGCCACTGCTGCTTGTTATGCCTTCCCATCCAACTTAAATAATCACAAGTCCTGTTATATTAGCTGTTTTCTTTTGGTGAAGGTGCTTGGCATCCCGGCTGCATTACAGCAGGGAGGGGACGGACGTGCGCAAAGCAGGAAGAGACCCAAGGGGCTGCGCAGCAGGATGGGTACGAACCCAACAAGTGCCACGCGTCGTGGCTCCCTGCAGACCTCCCCAGGGGACCCTCGTGCAAACGGGGCTGGAAACCGCTTCCTCCCGGAGCTGTGCCAGCATGGCCCTGCTCTGCTCCACGGGCCCTGGCTATATAAACAGCGAACAATAACGACCAGGACGCAGCCAGGGCAGCTGCAATGGCATAAACATCAAAGCCATTCCGAGTGTAGGCACTGCCAAGATACTTGTTGCGTGTTTGGGTGCAAGTGATTTACAGCCGGATTGTGCCGTTCTAGGTGGAGACGGGGAGCTTGCTGAGGGATTGACGATGGGAATAAGGCTTTCTGCTCTTGCTGTAGTGGGAAACTCCTGATTACCCACCAGAGCCAGGGGGCTGCAGAGGAGTGCATCAGGGCTGCAGGTGCATTTCAGCTCTGACTCAGCACTAGCTGCTTTTCAGTTAATTTTGCAGAGGATGAGTGGGGGAATTATGGATTTCTGTTATTTGCAGTAGTTGTGTGAGGTTAGATGCCAGTGCTAGGCTGAGAGCAGAGGGCTTTTTCTATGGAGCCTTCTCTCATGGCAGCCGAGATACTCCCAGAGCCAGCAGCTCACCCTGCTCACTCCTCAGCACAAAAAGAGATGATGTTAAACAGCGACAACAAAAAAGTGAATTTTGGGTATGTCTGCTTTGGTATTGTTTTTGGCAATCATAGGCATTTAAAGAGTGGTGACTCCAGCTGCTGACCAGAGTGGCACTGAGATTTAAACCCCTGACTGTACTTCAGAGCCTCCGTGCAGTGGCACTGCTGTAGCAGAGACCTCAGCCAGCTGTTGAAAACACTCCACAGGGTTTAGGTGAGGCTCAAGATGGGCTTGTGCTGTCCAGTCTGCACTCACAGAGCGATGGAGTCACGGGGAGGATCTCTGGCACCAGTGTGAAGGCACTGGGGCTGGTCCTGTCCACTCAGAACCGGTGATGGAGAGGGACCACCTGTCCACAGTGGTGTGTAACCCTGGACTCCCTGGATTCTTCCCCTTCCCTGACAGTTTTGGGGAGGGAGATGCGATGATATGCTTACCTGTCCCCAGGCAGTGTGGCAGAGAGCCTGTGTGTGCAACCTTGCTGCACCAGTGTTGGTGTCACCATAGAATCATAGAACGGTTTGGGTTGGAAGGGACCTTAAAGATCATCTAGTTCCAACCCCCCTGCCATGGGCAGGGACACCTTCCACTAGACCAGGTTGCTCAGAGCCACATCCAGTCTGGCCTTGGACACTTCCAGGGATGGGGCATCCACAGCTTCTCTGGGCAACCTGTTCCAATGCCTCCCCACCCTCTCTGGGAAGAATTTCTTCCTGACATCTAATCTAAACCTCCCTGATTTCAATTTATACCCATTACCCCTTGTCCTATCACTACAGGCTCTTGTAAAAAGTCCTCTCCCAGTACCCTTGTAGGCCCCCTTCAGATACTGGAAAGCTGCAATGAGGTCTCCTCGGAGCCTCCTCTTCTCCAGGCTGAACAAGCCCAGTTCTCGCAGCCTTTCGTCATAGCAGAGGTGCTCCAGCCCTCTGATCATCTTCGTGGCCTCCTCTGGACTCGCTCCAAGTCCTTCCACTTGTAGGCTGCATAAGCAAATGCTTTCAGAAAAGAGA